TTTTCCAGCTTACCATTCTCAGAGATATTTCTGAACTTTGCCTAAATTTCTGTCATGGCCTCCATTTCTCAAACTTTTATACTTCTATGTAAATTTCCATATGGGACGCTGGGCCCGGTTCCCAGCACGTGCTGCTTGGAGCCTTGTTCCATTAATAAAAAAAAAAAAAAAAAAAAAAAAGAGATACTAGCTAATCCTTTCCCTAGTATACACCACTTCTTGGCGAACCACTGTTTTCCTGGTCCTTCCTGTCTGCATCCCTTTCTCCTCCAGTCCTCCTCCAGCCCGCCTGAATTGCCGTTCTCAGTTGAGTACGGAAGAGATGCCCAAGTTCCTTTTGGTTAGCTCCTTGTGATTGAAGACTCTGCCCGTTCCTTTCTGCCCAGTTTACTTCCATTCCTGATGCCCTCGCCGTTTGTGCTGCATAGCCCCATCAGACTGTCAGCTGAAGCGAGTCTGGTATTCCTGGCAGGATAACCCATTCTCTGAACCCATTCTCTGGTATTCCTCCCAGGAGAACCCATTCCTGATGCCCTAGCGGTTTGTACCTGAAATTTTGGCCCAGTAGAAGTTCCACCATTTCCAAATGCGGTAGGAGGCTGGACAGTCCCACCGTAGGTGAGGTGTGGATTTCAAGGCCCAGCTGCAGCTGTGGGCCGGTGGCAGGTAAGGTTAAGGTCTCCCTGGTTCCCTCTCTGAGTCAACCAAAATGCTGAGGGTGTTGAGAGAAAGGATTGTAACCCACCTCTACAACAACCTGGGCTTTAGAAAAACCGAGTGACCGAGTGCTGTGGGTAAAAAAAAAAAAAAAAAAAGGATGGTAATCACTGTAGGGCTGCGTGTCTTTGATCGATGCTCCCCACCAATAGATGGAGCGCAGCTAAAAAAAATCTGCCTGGATCCCTCTCTCAGTCAACCAAACTGCTCAGCCCCCTGCCAAAAAAGGGGGGGGAAAAAAAAAAAAAAAAAAAAAAAAAAAAAAAAAAAAAAAAAAGAGTTGTTCCCAACATCTGGAGATTGCCTTCCCGATTTCCTCTGGTTGGAGTTGTAGTACTTGCCTCCACCTTCCGACTGCCACTGCCAGAGATTGGCGAGGAGGGCAGAGAATATTGTATCCCACCAGGGTTGAGTACTGTATACTCTGGAGATTCTCCCCTTTTGTGCCTCTCTCTCTCCACGTCCATAGAGCTGGGTCGAGTCTCAGGGAGGCGATCGCCTGCCCTTGTGTGCAAAGGCCGTGTACTGTACTGTGTGTGTGTCACCTGTAGTCTCCTTCTCAGCGTCGAGTTTCCTCATAGCCCGAGTCTGGAGGTCTTCGTGGAGATGTGCAGAAATTTGCGGGCGAATCTGGACGTCATCGTGGAGAGGTTCACAAAATTGCATTTGGTTTCGTCAACCGCACATCTCCACAAATATGTCCAGAAAAAGGCTGCTAGTGGGACTTGGCCCCTGGAGTGGGGGAAGTTGGACGGGCGAGAGGTGGGCAAGGTGGAGGGTGTAAGGGGGGGGNCTCTCACACACACACACACACACACACACACACACACACACACACTGTGACACACACACACAAACACACACAAACACCTCCCGCTACCCTGGATAGACTAGTATTTCCTTGCCTAGTATTTTTCTGTTCTGCACTAAGTCTTCGTGAGGAAGCTATGTGCACAGAGGGAACTTGGCTCTGCTTTGGAACCGGTTAATCAAAGAAATGCGAAGGCAAACGAAGATACTAGAAACTTATTAAAAGGAAAGGAAGGGGCACTGTGGCCTTGTCTATGTGTGAGAGCTGTGCCTGTGTGTACGTGGCAACTTTTCGTGTGTTCACCACTCCACCAAATTGAATCTCTTTCCTTTTCTTGGAGCGGTTACCCCCTAAGTGCTGAAGACATAGTGATAGATCAAGTTATTAATTAACTGGTCGGTCTGTTGTTCGTTTCTCATTTGTTCACGCGTTCTTGAGATAGATTGACTGATAGATTGAGCGATAGATTGAGCGATAGATTGAGCGATAGATTGAGCGATAGATTGATTGATTAAATAATTAACTGGTCGGTCTGTCACTGGTTTTCTCGTCATGTTGGCTCGTTCTTTTGACTGGTTGATTGATTGATTGATTGATTGATTGATTGACTGATTGATTGATTGATCGATCAGTCGTGCTTGTCTTTTCTTTTGTTCGCTCCTTCTTGTGATTGATTGATTGATGAACTGGTCTGTTTGTCACTTGTTCTCTCATTTGTTTGCTTTGTTGATGTGCTTGATTGATTGATTGTTTGTCTTGATTGATTGATTGATTGATTGATTGATTGATTGATTGATTGCAGAACTGCTGGATGGAGATGTTCCCTTGCATTGTCAAGTCGTCAGTGGTTATAGAGATCTTATCCCCCGGGTCAGCGAATGGAAATCGAGATGGAGCATTGCAATTGGTAAGTGGTGAGTTTAAGTTGGGACTCGGGAGCAAGCAATTCTTTTTTTTTATGTTTTTTTTTTTAATTATCTGAAGGAGTTTTTTTTTTTTTTYTTTCCCCCCCCTCCTTGTTTTTTTTGGCAAAAGGCGTAAATAAATCCCCACCACCACTAAACCTTTGACCTCATTTGCCCCCAAACGGGGCAAAAAGTGCAAGAGCCCCTGAAACAACTTCTTGCGTCATTTTTGCACCCGTCGGTATTGGCAAAAAAAGTTATAAATCCCCCCCCCAACGACAAAACCTTTGTACTCGTTTGCCCCCAAACGGGACAAAAAGTGCGAGAGGCCCTGAAACAACTTCTCCTGTCATTTTTGCACAGTCTGGTAACGCTCTCTGTGCAAAAATGGGGGGAAGGTGTTTTTTTTCACGGGCCGACAGGGGTGCAAAAATGACGTGCCACCTGAGCGTGATGCCCGGGGATGCCCAGGCATGGGAGGAAAAAATAATAATAAAAAAAAATTGTGGTAGGGTTTTTCCGCGCTTTCCGAGAGGAGCCCAAATCCGGGAGGGGGGGGAGGGGAGTATAAATGAATATTGAAGGGGCTAAAGGGGTTTAAAGGGGGGTGCCTTAGTGTGATTTGGCTATTTTCTTTTTTATCTTCAGTTGCGTAAGGAATTCTGATGTGACCCTCAGCCAAAAGTTGTTTGTATTGCAATTCTACACAGCTTTTTTTTTCCAGATTTTTTTGGATTTGTTTTTTCTTTGTTTTGTGTTTTTTTTTTTGGTTGCGCTGGGGCTGCCCGGGCCCATGCCTGGAGGTCATGCCCGGCCGGAAACTGGGCGTGACGTCGCGACCCAGGCGCCCGGGATATCTCCGCTGAAAAGTTGTTTTGAGGCAGCTCAAACTTTTTTGCTCCGTTTGGGGCAAATGCTTGTACTACAAATGTTTCGTTGAGACTCGAGAGAGGGATTTATAACTTTTCCCTTTTTTTGAACTACACTGTATTCTTCTCTCAAATTCTTTTTCACTTTTTACTACCAACCTACCACCTCTCCTAAGGCTATATAAAGGGGAACCCTGCAAGCGTAGGCGGCAGGCCTCACTAACTTGGAGGGATTCATGTTGCTCCCCATCAGAAATCGGGTGGGAGTCCGTGGGACTACCGGTGGGGCCCCGAAGAATGCAAAGATGGAGCATTTTGCCCGTTGCCCGTAGCTGTGCCTCCCTTTTCGTAGTCCCCCAGTGACTCCCCATCGAGTAACCATCAGACCTGTCTCTTATACACATCTAGATGTGTATAAGAGACAGGTGTGTGTGTGCGCGCGCACACACACGCCCACGCGAGGTTGGGGGGAGAGGGCGGATTAGTGTTCCTCGTTTGCCTTTTTGTGGCCGGGCCATGAACGACGCTTCTGAGCCAGCTAGAGGGGAAGAGAGATGGTCGGTTTCAGTCCAACGACAGTGACTGTTAGAGTCCCCGGCGTATAGAGTCCCTTATCCATTGACCCGGTCTGGATTATCGATTTTGATTGGAGAACCAATCACCCACTGACCCAGCTGTTGCTGTCTACCCGCGAACCTCGTCCCATTCCATGATGCTTGAGGGATATAACGCCCCCCCCACCACCACCGTAAAAAAAGAAGAAGAAGAAACATAAGCACTGTAGAAACGGGGGGAAGGGGGAGGGGCAAAGGAAAAACATTAAAACCAAAGAAACAACAAACAAAAGGAAGAAACAATGTGGCGCAGGACTCAGCATGTGCAAGCTCCCAATTGCAAACAGAATGGGATGAAGCCCCTGAACCTGGATGCCCTTGGAGAAGAGATGCACAAAGCAAATCATTCTCCATTTCGTGCACCTATCTTCAAACACGTCCAGATTCACGCCTTGAATCCAATCCTCTTAGCTCGTGGGAACCTCGGCCCAGTTGCAGGTCCCCAACGCAGTTTCCTCTCCGCCCCCCCAGCGAAGGTTGCAAAGGAGGAGGAGGAGGAGGAAGACGAACAAGAAAAGAAGAAGAAGAATATATATATATATATATATATATATATATATATATGTCACAGCCCCTCGTTTGTTGTCCGCTTCTCTCTCTCTGCCTACGGTTTACCGGGCAGTTCTGATTGTGACTTTATATATATCATCAAACAGATATATATTTATATATACCTGGTAAACCATGGGCAGAGAGGGAGAAGAGGACAACAAAAGAGGGGCTGTGACAAACTGTTTCGTCGGAGTTTCACTGACTCATCAATGACATATATAGGAGGGTAACTGTGGCGCAGTCACGAAAGCAGTTTGTAATTGCATTTCAAACTGCTATTTAGCAGTTTAGTGAGGGCCCCAGTTTCAGGGCAATATGCAGATTTGCGAAGGCGAATTGGAGGCGCACTGCTGTACCTTTTCGGATGGGACAAGGCCGTGGCCATCTCGGAGAAAAGGCCATCTGGTACTTCGCTGGTGCACAGGCGCCATCCACAAATTGTGCAAGAACTTTTGCGAACGAATTTTCCCCATTTTTTGAAGAAAATGCAAAAAAATAAATAGGGCATTTGGGGTCAGCACCCAAATTCCCTTGCCCTGCGGCTATCCAGGCCGCTGACAAATGGGCACGTGAAGTACATTGAGGACTTTGGCAAATCTGTGTGACTGGCCCTCTACCTTTTTTGGGGGGTGATTCGGGATTATAGGTCCCAGTGTGAGTGTGCCCTCAGATGCAGTAGAAACTCGGGCTGGCCTTTTTAAGCAGTTCGTCAGGCACGTGGCCCCTTTTTTTTTCCCCCTCAGGCGTGGCCGAGACATCTCGTGGCCCCGACACACAACCACATGCATTTTCCTCCCCCCTCGGGCGTGGCCGAGACAACTCGCCCGTGGCCCGGCCACGCAACGCCACGAAAAGAAAAGAAAACAAAACAAAAAAAAAGGGGCCCCGTGCCTGACTGAACTGCCAGTGCTAAAAAGGCCAGCCCGATTTTCAACTGCATTTGAAACTCGGGCCCTGACTAAAAAAACTGCTAAAAGGCAGTTTGAAATGCAATTACAAACTGTAATCCTGACTGCGTCGTCTCTCTTTGTTGTCCTCTTCTCCCTCTCTGCCAACGGTTTTCCCGGCCCGGCAGCTCTGTTTGACGATATATATATATGGGTAACTCCAGTGGAGTCCCAAAAATGAGTTATAATTGCACTATGGGGAAAGATACAGTTTGCAATTGCACTATGGGAATTAACGTACATCGATTTGCATGCAGAAGCATGCATGCAAATGGACCTGCGTCTAAATGAATGATCACCTGTAGGCTTGCAATGGATGCTCGATTGCTGTTAGCATGCATGCAAATCCACCTGCGTCTAAATGAATGATCAGCTGTAGGCTTGGTTGCAAGCTTAGGCATTGAATAATGAAGCTCGATGACTGTTAGCATGCATGTGATGATGCAAATTAACGTATGTTGAAATGAAGGCATGCAGCATGCATGCAAATCGACCCGCATCTAGATGAATTATCAGCTGTAGGCTTGGATGCAAGCTTAGGCTTACACCATCCTCGTAAGAAAAAAAGGAGAAAAGGCATGCGTTTAACGTTCATGCCATGTTAATGTATGCATGCATACGTGGATGAACATGCAAAATGCCATGAAGGTGGCCTTTGAGTGTTTTTTTCTTTTTTCTTTGAAGTTCCGTATTTATGTAGTATCTTTTGATCAAAACGAGTATTTGCACGCATAGAGACAAAACGTAGAGAAGTAAACAAAAAATACAAAAAAAAAAACGAAAGAAATTGTAGAGAAGCCATGCTGCAAGACGATAATGAATAATTTAATCAGAGCTCATGGCACAAAAGTCATTGGAAAAAAAAAAAAAAAAAAAAAAAAAAAAAAAAAAAGTAAAGCAGGCGCTGGTACTTAGTACTTCACAGTGTTCACACCCATGTAACTATTGATAAACGGACCTCAGCTCGAAACCTGATGGGATCAGATGAATAAAAATAGTTCTGAATTACCAGCGTCTGGTCACTGACAGTTGGATGATGCTACCTCAAGGCTGTCGGTGGATTAAAAAAAATAATAATAATAAAAACAATTCACAGCATGCTCATTTGGGAATACACATTTGAATTGGAACGCTGGAACAGATAAGGAATTATAAGGCAACAATTTATTTATATTCTTGGCTACCAGAGTGGCCCGGGACCATTTGCCCGGCCAGTAGAAAAAAAAAAAAAAAAAAAAAGATTTTTTTGTGTGTGTATTTTAGATTTGGTAAAGAATTTGGATGTGACCTAGGCTACCAGCTGGGGCGCCCGGGTCACCCTATTTTCCCGGGCGGGCCGTCCGTGCAAGGACCAGGGAAGGTCCTAGATTTAAAAAAAAAAAAAAAAAAAATCGAAAAAATCCTAAAAAAGCCTATGTTATGCAGAAAAATAAACTGAACAACGTTTGCCTCAGGGTCGCATCTAAACTCATACCAAATTAAATAAATAAAATAAAAATGATTTTACTATTTTATTATTTTTATTTTTTGTTGGCCCGGCCCCGGCATGTGATCCCGGGCCGCTCTGGTAGAGCCTAGGATGTGACCCTGAGACAAAAGTTGTTCAGTTTATTTTTCTGCAAAGCGTAGTTTGTTTTTCGATTTTTTTTTATTTTTATTTTTTCTTTTTCCTTTTTTTCTTTTTCTTTTTTTTGTGTGTGTGTGTGTGTTGAGCTACCTCAACGCCTGAATCTGGACGTGTTTGTGGAGACGTGCAGTTCAGGAAACTCAACACCATTTCTGCACATCTCCCCAAAAGCGTCCAGATTCGGGCGTTGAGGTAGCTCAACGCTGCTAGTGGGACTTGGCCCCTGGTCCTTGCACGGCCAGGCCGCTCGGGAAAACAGGGTGACCCGCGCGGCCCCGTTGGTAGCCTAGCTCATATTATCATTATCATTATGGGAATTACTAAGCATGCAGGGCGCCGCGGCACTAACACCGCCAGAGGCACTAACACCGCCAGAGGCACTAACACCGCCAG